TCTTGTACCCATCCTAAACTTTATGAGGGAAAAAAAGCACATTGACCTGGAAATTTTAGGATTTTTACCTGGAAAAATGAGTGAAATTTGAAACCTGATTTGAGTGGCCACCCGGTCATGGTTGACAATAATAGTTGAATTGGCCTAATTAAATGATAATGAGCCTAAATTAGGTCCTCAGGGCTTCTTTCACAATATTGACAGTTGTTTTAATTAATCTTAATTGCTGCTCTTCTAATGAAAATTTATTAAAAAATTTTAAGTGCCAAGCACAGAATACAGGTTATACCGGCTACTGCGTATTCAAGCTTGTTAGTTAACAAGTGACACAACTTTCTTGAACATCAACTCTTTAATTGTTTTAAATTGTCCTTTCAATAATGTTTCATATTTATTTTTTCTATTGATACAGATTTTCTTTAATTTTAGAATTCTTTTAAATAAATAAATTTTATTTTTCAGGAAAATAATTTAAAGTTTCATCGAGAAGAGTCCAGTGAAAAAGATCTGGAAGATGAACATGCTAATGACTCGTCTGATGAAATAGTAATTATTAATATAATTTAACTTTTTGTTAATTAATCTTTCTTCAACCTGTCATTTAACCCCTTTACAATTGGTTAATTTTCAAGAAAACAGTCATAAAAGTGCCTATTTTTTTTAACCCTGAAAATTATATATATATTCATTTTTAAATTTTGATTTGTTTCGAGTTTGAAATTTTAAAAAATTAAATTTTTAGGAAAAGCCAATATTCAGGGTTACTATGACTCAATGTTGGTTTTCCAGCAAGCAAGGAAAATTTGAAAAATATGTGTTTTAAACATTAAAAAGGAATTTTATTAAACATATGTATAATATAAATAAAGATTAGTAATTTTTTCTTGTGTGGTAAATTTCGAGGCATGAGATACAGAGGCCAACGTCACAATCTCGACATTAGTACCGAGTTTCCTTCCTACATCTCTTATTGTTTTCATCTCTTCTGAAGCAACAAACTTTGCATTCTCTTGATGGTTGCCGTTTCTTATCAGTTGGGGATATCTGTCTAATAAAATGCCTTTCAATCAAACGATTGGGATTATCCTCAAGCTTGTATTGTACAAAGAGCCTAACTAACAAACTTTGCTAAGATTACAAATAACACATCACAAATACACGTATTTGATTAGTGCTGACATCTAGTTTAAAGTAAACTAACTGTCTACAATTACCTTAAAAATATCCTGGTTCTTTCATCTAGTGTGTAAAATGAGAAATAAAATGTTTTCCAGGCAGAAGAGATAAATTAGTTTTATTCTTATTGGCTCATTACTACTGAACACTCCAGCCCGGAAATATCACGGGAGCAAGAAATAGAGGGCAAAACCTCACCCCATCATTTTCATGGGAGCGAGAAGGAAGGGGTTAAGATATATTTAGCTTAATTCTATTGCTCGTAGAGGCGTTTTCTCTAATTTAAGGAAAATGAACTTTGAATAAATAAATTTCACTTTTCAGACAAATAAGCCTATGATCCATCAAAAAAGATCTGCTAAAAATGATTCATCAACTTTGGAAAGTACCAGTAAAGAAGATCTAGAGGATGAATATGCTCATGATACATCAGATGAAGAAGTAATACTTTTTTAACTATATTTTAGCTATTTTTAATAAATCTGTTTTCAATTTTTTATTATTAGTTTTAAAAAATATATCATTTTTATGTTTAGTTTTGTTAATTTTTTTAATATCAAGAAATATTTTTTAAATGCAGTGTTTGTCTAAAATGTCCTTGGTGTAACATGGCTAAGCCCTAAAAAAAAAGGGGGATCCTGTTTGTAAAAATTAGAGCTTTATCTAAGGATTATTCACAAAAGTAAAAATCTTAAAAAAGGGCTCTATGTGTTTTTAAATTAATAAATATCTATGCTACTATAATTAGAGCATTATATATGAAATTATTTTACAATAATTTTTAATAAAAAATTTAAGTATACTTTAAAAAAATTTTTTACTTATATATTTGTTTATTTTTGTTTAATATTGCATTTTCTTCCAGAAAATTTAAAACAACATCATTCTAACATCATAATAGAAACAAATCATTCTAACCTGAATTTTGTATGATCATTTGTGCGGTTACTTTTGAAAGTGGAATAAATCTGATTTTTATTTTTTCCACTTTAAAAGCATTCAAGGGTTAGTGTTTGAATGAGTTTAGAAATTTTGGCAAAGGTTTATCTATTTGGGCGATGTTTTTAACACTATTATTTAATGAAACATCAAAATGCAACAATGATTATTAAAATTGTAAAATAAAATAATAAATAAGTAAAATACTTTTTAGTTTCAAATGGGCTTATTCCACTGTCAAAACTGAGGGTTCATTTAATAAGTTACCGAAAAACATAACTTTTTATTTATAAGTTAGTGACAGCATTAATGTCCTAGACAAGTTTGCTTTGTCCAGGGTTTAATGCTTGTTCATTATGTGCCGTAGGTAAAGAAGAAACTATCTTTTGTTATAGAAAGTATCAGGCATGTGAAACAGTAAAGAATTATAGTGCAAATATTCAGAAAATTATTAATATATTATTGACATCTTTTGAAAATACATTTTTAAACACTCTAATGTTATTTTAATTTTGTTTCCATTACCAGGATATTCGCAATACTGTTGGCAACATACCTATGAAGTGGTATGATGATTTCCCTCATATTGGTTACGATATTGATGGGAAAAAAATTATGAAACCTGCAACAACAGATGAAATTGATGAATTTCTCAGTAAAATAGATGATCCTAATTATTGGTAAGTTGTTTAAAATTTCATTAAATGCTCATTTAGTAGAAATTAGGATAATCTTGACTTTCTTTCAAATCAAAATACAGTAGGCTACTGATTATTTGGGTTATAACTACCTTACTTTTGTACTATTGGGTATAGTTATTGTATAGTTTTGTACTATCGGGTGGTTAGGAATATGAATGACCATCTGTAAAACACATCATGGTAGGCGGAGAAGGCAAAAAATGAAGAATGTTAAAGTGGTCATTTGTACATTTTTACTTCTCTTAGTCATAAAATTTCCCATTTAGTTTATTAATAGACTTTAAGTAGTTTTTCATCGATTGCTTATCTTGAAATATTTTTTAAATTACCACATATCATGGTGTATAAGTTTAGTTTCAAATCCCCCAAAATTTTACCAAAGGGGTCAACTTATTCACTAGGTCTAAAGTTGATTGATTCATTGTGACATATCAATTCATTTTATAAACAATAATATAGAAATGAACTCTAAATCAATTGACCCCTTTTGATAGCTATTTTAACCATAATATATGCAATTAACACTTTCTTTCATATTTTCTTTACATGTAATTTTTCTTTTATTAAACAATACTTTTAAGTTACATTTAGAAAAAAAGTTTGGATTAACAAAAGTTAAAGATGATTGATTTGAGAGTATTTCAAAAAATAAAACACAATTAAAAATTTTAAGACATATCATAAAGCTATAAATTTAGTTTCCAGAACATCATCAATGTCGTCATACTTATCCCCCTCTGCAATGGATTTTTATTGGTCATCTTATACACCCCAAATACTGGAGATTTGCTATCTCATTATTAAAGATAGAGGGCTGTCTTATACAATGGCTCGACTTGTATACAACATCAAAATGCCATGCAAGGATATACAGCACATTGTACACAAGGATCTGTGGAAGAGTGGGTAGAAAGTGGATCTTCGTCCTATTCCTCTATTTTGTTACCCAGTATATCCACTACATTCAACCAGATAGTGGAAACTGTTGTGTATTTACTGTTTAGTTGAATTGAAATTAAGAGAAATGAGGTGCCACTATCATTTAGTTCTTTATTGAAGCATTCAGTTGGTGCCTATTCGCAATTGAGTTATTTATTTTTTTTAAAAATTAAACTGTGAAAATACTTTTTAATTAATTATTCATTTGATGCATTTAAAAATTAAATGACTTTGTATATTTTGAAAGTTTGTTATGTTGTTCATTTGAAAAAAAATTAAGACTATGAAATCTCTAAAAGTTTCATAGACTTTTTAAAAAGAGAAAATATACCGCACAGTTTTAAGCTTCATAATAGCAGCAAAATAAATGAGGATGATAAAAAAGTGCTTGAATCGTAATATTGGTTAATTAGATTTATTACCCCTTAGATGTATTGAACATTTTAGTTAGATCATTTCATGTTGCGATAGTGAATAGTAAAACTATTAACTGATAGAGTTTGTAGATGGGTACTACCAATTAAAGTTTTTCAAATCACTTGTTTTATTTTTATGTAATCCTGCATTTTTATTAACTAACTATATCCTACATTTTTATTGTTAATGACTTACTATTATTTTAAAATAAATTAAAAAATTTTCAATTACTTTATTTGTTGAATTGTTACTCTTGATAGTATATTGATTTTTAATAAATTTTTTCAAAAATTTTTAGTCCAGGCTTTTTTGCTGCTCAATGCATCTTATAGGCTTACATAGCTGCCAACTCTACAGGATTTTCCAGTAGATTATTGGATTTTTTCAATTTTTCCTGGTCTACTGGTTTAATAAAAATTCTCCTAGTTTCTGTACATTTTAAAGAAATTCCCTAAAATTCAGCAAGTTTCCTTAAAAAATTCCTATTGAAATAGAATTTTTGTGTGGATTATTGCTTTCTTCAATATTTAAATAAGTATTAATATATAATAAAGCTAACCTCTTTTATAAACTCAGTTAACTATCTTTGATGAATTAAAAAATTATGAAATTATTTATGAAAATTATTCAAAATTATGAATAAATATAATACATAACATTTCAAGATCATTTAATGTAAAATCATAACTGGAAAATATTGCAGTTTTTATCACTATAAAAAATCCCTAAAATTCCCTATGTGTAAAATATTTAGTATATTTTGCAACAATTATTAAATTTATATTATTTTGTAAAATCTAATGGATTTCTTCCTATCCAAGTTGGCAGTTATGGATTTATGAAGCTATTAATTAGTTAATGCTTTAACTTTTGTTGTTTTTTTTATTTTAAAGGCGAACAGTGAAAAATAAAATGACTGGAGAGAAGGTAGTGTTAACTGATGAAGATCTAGATATTATACAAAGAATTCAGTCTGGCAACTTTCCAACTAGTGAACAGCAGTACGAGGTGAATTTCAAACTGTCTTGAAAATTGATAAAAATATGTGAAATAAAAGAAAAAAAATTAGATTGGCATAATATTGTGTAGTTATAAATTTTTAGTTAGTTAAGTTTGAAAATTATTTTTTCAATTAATCATATCCCTTAACAAGGTTGAATTAATTTGTAATATTTTTTTTTCTTTCAAATTTCAGATGTTAAAAAAAAGATGTTATGTTATAAAAAAATTTTTAATTTTCATAAATGTTTATTTATTTAAAAGTTAAAGTCAGCATTTATATTTGATTGACATAATTTGTCCATAAATTGATCAGTTATTTGGGAAATTTTTTTCTCTTTCCTTTTGTAATTTTAGAAAAGCAAGAATCTTCATGCTTTGCAATGACTCTGCGGTTAGGGCACTAAACTGTCATTTTGAAGGACTAGGGTTTGATCCCCAGTTGCATCTTAAAGCCCACCTAACTTCAGATCAATGGGTACCAGCTTGTCTGGTTCTTGGTTAGGTAAAGCCGGCCTGCGGTCCTCCATATTGCCAAAATAATGCTAATTCTCATTTAATTATAGAGCCTTTACCTGCATGAGCCCCTTGGCCCACATTGGACTGTTGCAATATGCTGAAATAGAATGTTAATTTTTTTAAAAATTTATTTATTTGTTTTTTGCCAAAACGTTACCAGTTTTTTTTTTTAAAAAATGCTTTTCAAGAAAAAATCTGAACCAGAATCGTTTATGACTTCGATTTTAAAATTCTAAGAATTGTTTCTATCTGTGGAGGTGTGGAGAAATATTTATTCTCTTAGTCTCTTATTATTTATTTCTTATTCCCATGTTTAATAAATATTTGTGAATGCCAACGATAATTGTCACCTACAAGTAATAAAATGAAGAAGAAAAAATTTAACACTTTTGAGTTTTTAACCTGCAAGAAACCTTGTATTAAAGCAAATTTTTAAAATTTATTAACAAATAAAAATTTAAATTGTCCTGGCTTTTTGAATGGTATTCATGCGCCCTAAACCATCTTAGCATTTGTTTTTCTTTTTTCTGATTTTAACTTTTTTTTTCTAACGACTTCTAAAAGCTTTTCTCAGTACCGGAGTTTGAATTATCAGGAATTATGGATGTGTAAGGTTTCTCTATATACATTGTACTAAAGTTTTATTTTAATTCAAATTTCTAAATTATTTCCTTTTTTTCTCTTTTTAACTCTATAGCCTTTTGAAGATTTCTTTACTTATGAGACTGCGAAACATCCTGTTACAAATGCACCACCTCACAAGAGAAGTTTCATTCCTTCCAAAATTGAGAAAGAAAAGGTATGTAATATATTTTTTTCCTACCTTTTTTCTACAAGCATTTAATATTTGTCTAATTTTTTATTTCCTTTTATGTAGGTATCTAGAATGGTGTATGCTATAAAAGCTGGCTGGATAAAGCCTAGAGTTCCCAAAGAAGAGAAAGATGAATTTTATATGTTGTGGGATAAGGATGTTGTAAGTTTTTATGATTTCTGGTTTTAAAGAAAATATTTTCACATTGTTTAAATTTATGTATTTCAATGGTCTTCTATTGTTTTCATTCCTGTTTTGCTGTCCTCTTTTAATATTATGAAAAACAATATATTTATCAATATTCCTTTCCTATTGAATTTTACTTATTCAGGCCAATGAAAATTTAGTTTCAAAGTAACAAAAATATTAATGAAAAATGTATTTAAAATTATATGTGTGTAGGGTGCGTGAAATTTTTAAAAAGTGCTTAAAGTTGCTTATTTTTGATTAAATTGATTATTAAATCACATTGCATTGATTTTGATTAAACATTGATTAAATTTATGTATTTCAATGGTCTTCTATTGTTTTCATTGCTATTTTGCTGCCCTTCTTTCATAGTATGAAAAACAATATATTTATCAATATTTCTTTCTCATTGTATTTTACTTATTCATACCAATTAAACATTTTATAAATGAAAAATTTATTTAAAATCATATGTATGCATGTAATTGTCTTTTTTTCTCCAAATAAAGTTGTAAACATTCAATTAAAGAATAACTCTGCTGAAAGAATCAGCTTATTTAGCATCTTTTTTTTTTTACCTAGATTTTTTTTTCTTCACATAATCTTCAGAATCCTTATTGACCAGTATTATTTCAGGTAATTGAAAATTAGTTTAAAACTAATTTATTATTGCAAATCAATTCTTAATTAGGAGTTTTTATTCAATTGTTATTTTTTACTTTTTTTATATTTATTTTTCCATGAAGACATACTTATTGTGTTTAATAATTTTACAACAAATTGAATCGTTTTCAAATATCTTTAATCATGTTTTAGGCTGAAGAATCGAAAAGAATGCGTCATTACATTCCTGCACCTAAGCGAAAACTTCCAGGTCACGAGGAGTCTTACAATCCACCTCCTGAATTTCTTTTCTCAAAAGACGAAGTAAGTTAATATTCACTTTACTGCAGAGATATATCATATATACATTTTTTTAAAATTAACTAGTTCAAACAAAAACAAAAAAATCAATTTTAGTGAAATAAAGGTATTTTTTAAGAAAATTTTTAAGCTGTTTCTTCATGGAAAAAAAAGGAACTACTGTTTGAGTAGCTTATACTCAAAGAAAAACTTAATTTTGAACTAAATTATATTTTTGAAAAGAGTTGTCTGGACTAAAAATGATGAAATAGCTTTTATAATTTAAAGAAATATAACCCAGTTTGAGTGCTTTAAACTCAAAGCATGCACTGAACTATACCATTATTCGGAAAAATGGTTCTTGCACCAAAAATTAACAAATAGCTTGGATATTTTTTAAAATAAATTAACCATGATTTAGGTGCTTTAAACTCAAAAAACAAAGCTTTAATGTGCTGAACTTAAAAAGAGTTGTTTGGAATTCTTAAATAAAAATACCTTGAATTTTTTAAAATAAATTAGCAATAGTTTTAATGCTTTAAACTCTAAACAAAGCCGTAGTAGGCAAAACTATACTATCTCTCTGAAAAGAGTTGTTTGGACTTAGAATGAACAAATAGCTTGAAAATCTTAAAGTAAATTAGCTACAGTTTGAGGGCTTTAAACTTGAACTGTCAGATTTTTAATGTAATTAAGTTTTTGTATGTGTTCAACTTTTAGTTTTTGTATGCTTTTTCAAATTATTTGTTTGCAATAAATGTTTATTTTTTTGTGTTTCAATATTTAGAATGTTGTGCGTTTGCATGATCTTAGTTCATTCTTTTTTTAAGAAAATGTTATATAATGAAGTTTTCTTAAAACTTTTTTTGTTCCATTTGAATAAAAATGGAACATTATGCAATGGAACAACCTAATGTGTTTTTCATAAATGCATTCTAAATCTACTCCAATTCATTTGAAACAAGTCTCAAATGGGTCCATAAAAATTTTTTCAGTATGTTTTGTTAAATTTGCTGCTAAACTTGTTCAAGGAACAGATTTTTCTCCTAGGAAGGGATAAAGTATGAAAAAAAGAAAAATTGCTCTTAAATGTTAAACTTACTATTTTGAACTAGTCCAAAGCATCAAGCATTCGATTTCTCAACTAAAACTTAATTGTATAAATTTTTATTTTAGATATAATATATAATTATTTGAATAAAATACAATTAGTGCACATATTATTTTTTTCAATGTATATTTTCTGTTATGAAAGGAAGAAAACTGGAAACAACAGGAGGAGGATGAAAGGAAACTTGATTTCATTCCTAAGAAATATTCCTCACTGCGAAAAGTACCTGCATATTCTAATTTTATCAGAGAAGCCTTTGAAAGATGTTTGGATCTTTATTTATGTCCAAGACAAAGAAAAATGAGGGTAACGAATTCTTTGCCTATATTAATTATGAACGTATTTTTGTTTGTATTTTTGCATTTCGCTTTTTAAATTGAACAGATCTACTAATTTTTTGTAAATAGCTTATTTTCATTAAAGCTTTTGTTAACTTAAGTTGAAAGAGTGAAAAAAATTTTTTTATGAATTTTCATTTAAAACCTGTGCATATTTTAAGCTTGTACGCAAACAAGGGGGAAAAAATTCCTCTAAATGTAAAAAGTAACTTTAAAAATGTAACATAAGTATTTAAATTAGTTTATTATTCCAAATCTATTATTCTTATTTTATATATTGTTAAATAGTTGCTGATTATTTGTAAAAGAATCTGCTGCTATAAATTATGGTATTTCCTTAGAATAAGATTAATATTGTATCTTATTTTATTTTCAAACCTACCACCAACTATTAATCATTTTTTTAAAGAACTTTTTCAATCAATGAGCTATGATCTAAAAAAAGAAAGAAAAAAAGTCATAATGATGCTTTTAAAAGTATATTTCAAACTTGCCTGGTTTCAAAAGAATAATTGTTACTTCTGAATTTAATGCAGCTTATAAAGACCTCTCTGAATTTTCATGTAATTTTCTTTTCTTTCTTTTTTTTTTGACAAAAATATTGTAAAATTGCTTTAATTTTTGAGCCCTGCTGAGGGGTTTAATTCTTCACTGAAATATGGAAATGCTTCTTTTTATTTTTTATGAAGAAAGATTGAACCTAATTGTAATTTAAAAAGAAAAAAAATTTAAAATTTCAACAATAATAATCTATTTTATTTTTCTGTATATACCTTTATATTGCCTATTTTATTTTTAAAATTTTTTTTTTAATCTTTTCATATTATAGGTAAATGTTGATCCGAATGATCTGCTTCCTCCTATTCCTAAACCAAAAGATTTACAACCTTTTCCTACTATGTTGGCTATTGTAAGTATAGCTACTTTCAGTTTGGAATTTTTTTGAATATTATTTCATTAATTGTAAAGATTTTGTTTTTTTTCATACTTTTACAGGTATATACTGGTCATTCAGCACTGGTTAGAAACATTACGGTTGAGCCGAGTGGGCAATTTTTAGCTTCCGGTAAGATATTGAACTTGATTGCTTTTTTGATGCATTGGGCATTTTTAAAGAGTTAGTTTCTCTTTTTTTTCATTTTTATTCATTCATTTACACCAGTAGTTTAAACCTCTTACAGTTCTGTACATAGTATACCATTCTCTGACTAGTGTGCCTCATATCCTAGCAGCATAATCTTGTTTATGTCTCATAATTATATTTGAGAATGATACAATTGCTACATTTCCCATATTTTACATTTCTGTAAAATATGGGAAATTCTGTAAAACTGTTATATTCCTGAATTACTTATATGTAGAAAATTTATGTTTTTCCCCCCTATTTTTTTAACACTGAAAAGCAAACAAAATCACTCCTCTTCATGTTTCAAACTTCCAATTCTTTTTCTTTCTTTTTTTTAATCTTACATATACATATGTGGGGACGGCATGAGTGGTCGTCTTAAATAAAAGACACTGTTCTTTAACAAAAACGTATATTAAAGGCTAAATTTACATAAACAAGGACGATTAACAATCACATAAATAACAAGAAATAATAAATGACTAAGAGTTCGTCTTTGCATAGTTTTGTATAATCATAACTCCTCTTTGGAGTCCGTATACGTCTGTTTCGGTTCATTCTCAACCGCGCTCTAATGTCTTAGGGACATTCCCATTGCTTCCTAGTCGTGCACAGGGATCAGCTTGCGGCTTACATTGACTGGCGGTACTTCTAGCTTAAGACGACTTCTATCTGTCGAATCTGAGAACTAAGATCAGGTTACAGCTTTGTGTACAGGAACTGGCACTATATATATATGTTAAGAATTGCCACAAGGCGGCGCTCACATCATATAGCACATTATTGTTCAGTTGCCATTCAACTCTAGCATCTTCCTGTCACTCAAAATGATCTTGTCCAATTTTATGTTATTAAGTTTGTAAATAAATGTTTATGTTTGTAACAGTCCGCTAATGAATAGATCAATATATCACGAACACTAAACAATAGATATATATATATATATCAGGGCTGGAAAAAACGCCCTTCCTCGCGGACGGCCATTTTCCCGTTAATATTCGTGATACATTTTCAATTTTTGTTATCTTATCTCTTATCTTTGTAATTTTTGTTAGGAGTCCAACGCCTCACTTCTAAAATGACCCTCTAATCTAGAAGTACAGCAACATACTGTCCATGGTAAAATTGATGTTTTCTCAATGTGGAAGTACTGCAGCGGTTGAAAGGGGCTTTTCAGCAATGAACAAAAAAACACATTAGGTACTGGTCTTAAACAAGAAGCGTTAAACGCAATTATGAATATCTACCTAAATGGTAAACCCCTATCAGATTTCTGTGCAGAAACCTCTGTAAATCATTGACTTGATTGTCGAACTGACAAACGTCATATTTGATTCATTTAAGAAACACAGTACCCTAGGATAAATTGACATTCCAGATAACTTGACCTTTGTCATTTAAATTATTTCATAAAGGAAATAAATTATTTCATAAAAGAAATACTAGGTTTTACTATTAGTGACCTAGTATTTCCTTTATTACTGTATAATGTAATCCTAGTAACTACTTATTCATTGTGCAATTTATATAAATGTTAGTAATAAATAAGAGAAAATTATATTTTTATTTAAATAGAAGCTACGGGTTAGTTTCAAAGGAGGATGGGTACATTAAAGGACAAGCCGTCCTCAGGGGCGGGTAAAATTTCCGAGTTTTTTCGAGCCCTGATATATATATAAAGATGTAGCGGAAATACCTCAGTAGTATGAAAAATTTAACAATATGCTCTTATATCATTATTAATTGAGTTTTTCAAGCTTGTATGAAAAAATCTGTTCAATTTTTTTATGTTTTTTTTGCTTATAATACTCTTTTACACGTTCTTTTACAAGTGTAATTGTGAGAGAAATTATATCTTTTTTCCCTCTTGTCTTGATATTGAAATCTATTTTATCTTAATTATCTTTCTTTTAATTGATCAAAAGAATATTTATTATTGTTTTTGCATCTTTATTATAAATACCATGCTAATTTCATGGTGTGATTAAATTAATTGACAAATTGATGGCATTTTTGTTTGAGTTTGATAATTTTAATAATTGCTTACACAAATTAATTACCTTATCTTAAGTGAATTTTTTCAACCCATAAAGTTTTCATCTGTGCACATACCAATCCCATTGTTAGGTCGAGAGTCATTCATAGTGACAAGTTTTTTTTTAATACTGTGTGCTGTATATATTTAAAACATATGCTTTCTACAAATAAATTAACACAATTGGCTGCACCTTTGTCGAAATTATAATAATATTGTATTAAAAAATTGTTTGTTTTGTTTTGCGGAACTTTTTTATTTGCCTACTTTGTAAAAATTTAAAATACTATTTGCTTCCGTTTCATTCTGTTCATTGTAAGAACTTATTTTATGAATTTAAATTTATTTGCACTAAAATTAAGAACTAATTACATTTTGTCATGTATAGGATCTGATGATCAAACCGTCAAGATTTGGGAAATATTGACCGGTAGATGTTTGCGTACTATCAATGTTGGTGGAACAATTAAAAGCTTAGCTTGGTGTCCGAGTGAAGCCCTTAGTCTTATTCTTGTTGCTGTGTAAGTACTGTGATTTATTTTAGTATTGCTAGTTTTATATTTTATTTGAAGTTGCTATTAATTCGGTGTTTTAAAGCAACTTTTTATGCTTATATGTCTTACAGGGCATAAAATTAATTGAAATTACCTGCCAATTGCCCGTGTGAAATTTCAAGCATTGTAAGAATTAGTACACAAGGACAGTTTCATGCATGTTTACATACTGTCTAACCCTTACCATGAATTTCTTGTTGTGCGAACTCTTTTTTTGATTCTCCATCAAATTGTATAGAGACATAATGCTTTTTAGTACTTTTAATCTGAAGACAATATATCATAGAGCTAGCTTATAATGAGCCTGCCCATCTTTAACAAGATTAGAGTTTTATTGAATGAAAAACGTTTTGTTTCGTATAATGTTATAAATGCATTAGTATGTATTAAAATGTATGTTTGTGTACAGTTATAGCAAAATGATAATGTGTTTGTGCTATTTCTATATTTTTTAATGTAAACAAATTTTTTGTGCCCCTCTGAATTCAAGTTATCAATATTTGACTATATATGAGATAATAATAACGTAAGTATGAAAGCAGGAATGTGAGAATACTTTAGCTTACTTTCAACATCAACATTCATTTTCATATACTTTTTTTACTTGTATTTTTGTAATTTCATTTCAATGCGGTGTGAGCAGTAGAATATTTTATAAACGTTACATTTTTTGTACTTTTTTTAGCCTTATCATGGGAATCATTTGTGTATGATATTTATACTTACTTTTAACTACAGTATTAAATATTCCTTTTTAGCGATGACAAAGTATTTATCATCAACACTAAGTTAGGAGACAAAGTAGTCATTAGTAATACTGATAGTGTGCTTAGTTCTTTGCCTGAAAATTTGGAGGACAAAAGTAAGTTTTTAATCTATTTTTTTTAAAAAATAATTTTTTTTCCCTTAATGTCTTCAGTTTTTCATTTTTTTCTTCTCTAAACTACAAATTTATCAAATATGTATTACAGAAAAAGTGAATCTGTTTGTTTTTCTATCATCATACATTTGAAATCACTTAAAAATGACTCTTGTCTTCGAAAATTAAAATTCAGCTGTAATATTTTCTTGTAATATCCATTATTTTGTGATTACAAGTCATTGGTGATGCAACAGTGTTTTCTCTCATAACTTCTTCACTTGGAGAATGCCGTCATCCCGATTGATAGTCACAGAGTAATAAATGTCACACAGGCAGGACACATGTTATGATCCGTCGTCCATGACCATCTTTGGCTTACTTTAATTTACTTGTCTACAATTTTATAAGGTTTCCCACAGGTTAAGGAGACCAGGGAAAACCTGGAATTGTCAAGGAATTTTATTTAACCTTAAAAATCAGGGAATAGTCGAGGAAACCTGCAATTTTTTTTACCAAAACCTGTAATATTCCCAATATTATACTTGGAAAATAACCAGTCTTAATATTGTCCGTAACAGTAATCAGTAGTTGGTATTCAAGTTAAATAATTCTAACATCTATTAGAATTATTTGTTATAAGAATTTCACATTTTAGTCAACTGAAATAATTCCATCCTCATTTAATGATATTTTTTTACACGGAAAATCTTGTATTTCACATTACAAATAAACGAATGATGAAAATATGGTCTCGATTTTCATTGAAATTTACCTGGTATACCTGGAAAGGTCAGGGAATTTTTTTCTGAAATTGAGTGGGAATCCTGTTTGTAAATACATAATGTATTTAAGTAAATGTTTATTTTTTTTTTTAATGTTTGCATTTAAAAAATTGAAATAACCATTGAAATTTTACTAATTTTGTATAAAAAAATGTAAAGATAAAATTCAAAATTCGGATCCAAAAAACCCATTTGATGTTTATATGTTAAAATTATTATATATTTTTAAAATTGTTCTGGCTTGCATCTTTTATTGTGAAGGCAACACGTTCTTTTCAAGCCAGGGAAAAAAAATTTGTCTTCAACTGATCTGATATAATAAAAAAATTTCAGACCATTTATTGTTATTGCAGTCATATGTATGCATATCACAAACTCTTAAAATTGCTTTATTTTCCAAAAACATTAGCTGTGACTTGGAGTTTACCTGACGAAAAACAGAAAGCTCTTGGATTTAGGCTTATCCTCAATCATGCAAATATTGTAAAACAAGTTGTGTGGCATACAAAAGGAGACTATTTCGCTACAGTTACTGCGGAAGATTCTTTCAGATCTATAGTAATTCATCAGTTGTCAAAATTTCGTTCTCAGGTATTTCATTCTGTTATATAATCTATATAAGAAATTGTAGGTATTTTACTATACTTTAAATTCCTGTATGATTCTATTTTAACTTGTAATTTATACTTAAATGCTATTTTTAGGCCAATTTTTTTTTTACTGTTTATTGAATGTTTATTGCAATTCTATTTTCTTTAAACTTGCATTTAATAGTTTTTCTCTCTCTTAAAACACTGTAATTTTTTAAATAACAGTTTGATAAAACCTAGAACCTGGCATAATTAAGATAGCTGTTATTTTCGATTTTAAACATGTTCTATAAATTCTTTTTTCATAAATTGTTTCTACAGTGTGCTTTGTATTCCAGTCTAATTGTATTTTACTTGTATTTTAAACTTAAGTGAAATATTCAAAAAAAAAAAAACTTTTTTTTCATTGTTTGTTCTTAATGTTAAACATATTTTTATCTGAAAATTGGAAAATGCACCTAATTATAATTTCTTTGTACACGATTGTAAGTTTTTTTAATGAAATTCTTTGCATTAAACTTTAAATCTGGCAGGCTCAGGATTGTTAGTATTCAATATTTCAGGTCTGTTGACAAAAATGTATCAATTTACAACCAATGTAAATGAAACATGAACTTTCTATTCTAAATCAGTTTGGTGGGATTCTCTTAGATTTAAAAATTAGAAAGAGAAAAAATTATAAAAGCTTTAAAATCTCAATTTTTTTCCTATTTTTATATACCATAATAGTGCAGCATCTGAGTAACTTTCTAAATATTGAAAAAACCTCAGATAATGTTTTTTATCCTTACAGAACTTTTTTGTTATTTTTGCATTTTGCACCATTTTCATAACAAGCATAAGCCTAGAGAGCATTGGTTGAAAATGAACAACGCATAACCCTAGAGCCATAAATAATAATTGCAAACTGACTTCAGTTATAAAAATTGCATATTATTCACTAAAATATGTATATACTAGTATATTATTAGATATATAATGATACCAAACTAGATCTTTTACTTTCACCCCCTGAGGGCAGGATGGTAGTAACTTTGAAATCTTAAATTGATGAAAAACCTAAATTTAGAAGGATAATTAAAGAAAAATTTACTGTGTCTTTTTTTATGAGATGGGTCTTGAGATTCATTAGGGTTACTATATTAGGAGAATCAGAATCTGCTGTAAAAAATAGGGGTTCATTTGTAAGAATTCAAAGTGCCCCACTGGTGAAAGATCGAGTTTAGTATCATTGGATAGGTTTAAAAAAATATTGAATGTGTCTAGTTTCACTTTTGGATCCAATGTATATTTCTTGAGATATTGGATTGTTTCCATTTTTTTACACTCTGTATGTATTTAGCACATAGTTGCCAATTCTACTGGATTTTTCCAGTTTCTCCTGATGTACTGGTTTTATTAAGATTTTCCAGTTTTTTGTACATTTTAGAAGATTCCCTAAAATTTAGTAAGTTTCCTTAAAAAATCCCTTTTGAAATAGAATTTTTGTGCAGATTATTGATTGCTTGAATATTTCTATAAGTGTCATTAATACATAATAAAGCAAGCCTTATTTATAAAATTCAGTTAACTATCTTAGAGGAATTAAATGTTTATTGCTATTCAAAATTATGAGTAAACATAATGCATACAATTTCAAGATCATTTAATGTGAAATCATAACTGGAAAATATTGGAGTTTTTCTATTTTGATGACTATAAAAATTTCTAAAATTTCCTATGTGTAAAATATTTAGTATATTTTGCAACAGTTATGATAAAAATTATATTATTTCGTAAAATCTACTGGATTTTTTCCTATCCGTGTTAGCAGCTATGATAGCATTATTTCACATGAGGATCAAGCTTTTGAAGAACAGCCTTTAAAATTTTTTTGAAAAATAGTTTAATAGTTGTGATTTTTAAGTTAGTTTTGTCAAATTAGCAACATAATCATTTATATATTTATTATTTTTTGACAGGTGCCATTTAAGAAACTGGGTGGAAAAATTCAGTGTGTTACATTTCATCCTCTGAGACCTTTCTTTTTTGTTGCCACTCAGAAGCACATAAAAATGTATAACCTCATTAAACAGGAAATGTCCAAGAAGCTGATGGTTAATTCGAAGCTGATATCAAGCATGGCTATTCATCCTCAAGGTATGGTTATATGTTATGTAAAGTTATATTTTATAATATAAAAAAAAAAAATTAAGTGAAAAGGTTTCTTATTTTGAACATGTTTCACTTACTTTATTCATTACAAACATTTTGGTTTGTAAAGGCAAGAAAATTTAGATATTCTAACTTGCAGATGAAATAATTAATAATAATTGTTCACATTTGTAAATGTAATTTATGTGGAATTTAGAAAAGCTTATTGTTATTATATTGAGCATAATTTTTTTAAATGTGAAATCTTTAACTTACTTTAAAATTAGTGTCTTGCTAATAATTTAACTGTTACTCTTGCTAATAATTTAATTGTTAACTTGCTAACAATATAGTTTTAGTTCTTAAAATTAAGAAAACTTCATTCATTTTTCATAGGATTTTTTAAGAGAAATGTTTTGAAGTTTTCTTAACATTTGGATCATTAATCTCAACTCTTTTAGAGCTTCTAGCTTCAGGTTTTCCTGCATCAAAAAGCGGTTTTTTTTTTAAATAAAAAGTTAATAAAACTTTACCCAGGGCTCAATTCATGGAGGGTTAAAAACTATTCTTTTTAACCATGCTTACTGTAGCAATGATAGCATAATAATCATCAGCATAATAGTAATAATAATAAAAATGTAGATATCTACTAAAAAGGATTAAAGTCATTTCTATTTATATCATCATAATGAGCACAAATGAAATTAACTAGACAAAGGATGTAGTTTTAGAAATTCACCAAGCAAATTGAAAATTGGTTCTTTATATCAAATGTTTGTTATTTATTCAAAATGGCCCACTTGTATCTTATTGTCTAATCCTACATCATAATCTTTTGTAATCAACATATCACATCTATTTATAAATATAATTACTCACCTATTATAAATTTCTAGAAAAGAATTTACTGGAAATTTATGCAACGGACATTTATATCACAGCATCATAAAGGATTTTAAACAAAAAACGGAAAGATATCAAGATAAAAAGATTACTTTATAGCTTGCATAGAGGAATAAAATTGTATGTTGAAAATGGAAGTTAACTTTTTTTTTAAAAAAAAGGGAAAGTTAAAGTCCTTAATTGAGTAATGGAAAAAATAAAAGAGGTAGTGGGAGATAATGTGTGAAGAATAACATCACATTTACATTTTAAAAAAGTATTTCGTTGAACATTGTATTTTCTTGTATAATGTTGTATATGTGCTATGTATAATTTTCAGTGATGTATTTAATTTATTTACATAGGTGATAACCTTATTGTTGGAAGTTATGACTGTAAAGTAAATTGGTTTGATTTGGAGCTCTCTACTAAACCATATAAGACTTTCAGGTATTCATCCATTTTATTTTATTTTAAAATTTAACAAAAAATAATGTTGATAATAGTATAATTAACACTTCTTCCATTACAAATAGATTGAAATATTGCTGTACTGAAAAATTCGTAATTGTAAAAATTAAAAATGTGTTTGTGGCTATATTAAATCAAATAAATATGAGGCTCCTTTTTATTTTTCACCCTGTAATAACTGTGATACATTAAATTTTCCTTCAGCTTTTTTTATATTTAATTTTTAACTATGCCTTGTCTTTATTATTCATGGTGTATGTATACCATATTTTATTAATAACCATTTATACAACTTCAATTTAAATCCTCATTGTTTTTATTGGTTTGTTTGATTGAACTACTTAGTGCATTAGAGTCATAGTCACTTTTTCTTCAACTGATCTGTTTACAAACTGTTCATTGGTATTCTTTTCAGATAAGTACTATATTAGTTTCCAGAATTTATACAGTAGCATAATAGTTGTGAAATATCTTGCTTACAAACTTAGGAATTGTGTTTTTCACCAAAATATCTGTTGAACAATTTGAAAGTTGTAGCTTATATTGTCTCAAGCCTTTAAGTTAATACTATAACTCTGATATGTTATACATTTTGTTTGTTTTCTGAAACAAAGTAGTTTTGTAAAATTCACATATTTTTAAGAATTCTTGAAAAACTTCAGATTTTTTTTCTTGAAGAAAAACTAAAATAATGATCAATGTTTTCTCAGAATTTTCTCAATTTATAGTGCACTGTTTCTTAGCTCATGCCGATACACATAAATATTACTTCACTGTTAGTAAGTTGCAATGGGAATCAGAACTGCTAACCATTTACTATATTTTTTATCAGGAAAAGTAATTTTTTTTTTTATAATTAATGCTTCTAGATAAAATAACAGTTAATAAAAAATTTTAAGAACTCCAATTAGTATAATCAATGATTCTACTTATTCTCTATGGCATGCCAAATAATTAAATCACAACTATGGAGCATCATGCATTCCTCGGGGCACTTAATTTTCCCTTCAGGTCAAGAGGGGGGAAAAACAAGTGACAGAATTAGCAAAAATTAATTTTGTTGCTGTAGACTAAATCAAACGGAACTATTTAAATAAATAGAGTGTATTTTTCCTGTATTAACCGCAGAGGAAGGAAATAAATTCTATCGATGGTGCAGGTGTTTGATCAATAGTAATTAAGGGTATTGATTCTTTAAAATTTAACTTTTTCTTGTTTTAAATATCTTTGTTTTGTCTATCAATAAATGGAAGATAATAAATGGGCACATTAATAGAGGGATGAAGTGGCAAATTTATCATCTGCTCAATGTCACAAATATTTTTTTTTCCCTTTGCTCTTCACCTTTTAAACAATCAAAGAGGGCCTAAACTAACCCCTTCGGTCTTTCAATGTATACAGCAATGTCCAGTCTTTTTAGTGTTAAACTTATGTGGAGTTGACTTTTTAACTATTAATTTTTTTTTCTAATGAAAAAAAAACATACTAAAAATACTTTTTCTAATATACAAAAAGAAGAAAAAAATGATGTATTGTGCAAGTTTCAAAAATTGCAGCTCTTTTTTTAATTTTTTTTAGTAGTTTAGATTATGATTGTAATTCCACATTATTAGTGTGCAATGTAGACAAAGAAAAAAAATTATTGTGGGAAATCTCCATATTTATTATAATATGTTTAATGTTAATTCACTTATGGATTTATAAATTTAGTAAAACGAAATGTCTATAAATTAATAATGTAAAAATTTTATTTATTAGTAACAAATCAATAATAGATTTGTCAGTTAATATACTTTTCTCTGTCATTCACTAATTTTATTATTCTTTATTAAAGGCATCATAAAAAAGCAGTGCGCCAAGTAGTTTATCACAGAAGGTATCCACTTTTTGCATCGACATCCGATGATGGATATGTTATCATTAGTCATGGAATGGTATATAGGTATGTAAAATTTTTTTTATCATTTAAGGTATATATATTTTTGTGTATTATCTATATGTCACATAAGATAATTGTCATCTTGCTGTTTCGTTGAGTCTCATAGGGCTAAAAAAAGATATAACTTAAAATAAATTTTTTGCCTTTTAATTAACAACATTTACCAGCAAAATGTATTGATCGTCCCTTTTTATTATACTCTGTTATTATATTTTTAAAATTTAATTATTTAAAATTTATTTTAATTTTTTTTAAATTTGTTTCTTTAAAATTTAATTTTGAAGTTAAATGTAATTTTTTAAAATGGAATTTTGTAGTTAAATTTAATTTTCCAGTTTTTTTTAAATTTTTTTTAAAGGGAATTTTGTAATTTAATTTAATTATTTAAAATTAAATTTAGTTATTTAAAATTGAATTTAGTTATTTAAAATTGAATTTAAATATTTAAAATTGAATTTAAATATTTAAAATTTAATTTAATTATTTAAAATTTTATTTAATTATTTAAAGTTTAAATTAAATTATTAAAATTCTATTGTATGTAAATTTGAATAATTGTTTAAAGAGAGCTTTTTTAATTATTTTACAGTGATCTTCTTCAAAATCCAACCATCCATTTTGTGAAAGCGCTCAAAGGACATGAAATGAGTCTGGACTGTTGTTTCCATCCTCAGAGACCTTGGATATTTAGTGCATCTGGCAACACAATCAGACTTTATTCTTAGTTTTAGTATGGAATTATAATTTTGTAAATAAAATTGTTTTTATTTTTATTGTTGGCGTCATTAATCAAATTCATTTTTGTTAATTTTTGATTACCTAAAATGATAAGTTTATTTAAAAACTTTTAATGGGAAATATTTTGCAGAATATTTTATTGTTTTAAAAAGTAAGAATGATAGTTTTCTTTTGCAAATGATAAATAGTTTAAAAGCAAATAAAATTGAATTCTAATTATTTTTATTCTTTTAAAATCTTACATTTTGCTTGAATTTTAACATTTTTCAGTTAAAAATTCTTCTTGAAAACTTTTATTCTTGAATTTCAACAAACCTTTTTTCCTAGAATTATCGAGTCTTAAAAATATTTTCAGATTGATTTCTAAAAACCATTTTTTATAGTAAGGTACACAAGTTTTCGCAAAATTGTAATGCTAATTTTTGGAAAAAATTTATTTATTTCCGGAGAAATAGCAATTAAGTACAAATTATTATCAAAAGAAGTGTACAATTTATTATTAAAGGAAATAAGCTTTTTAAGTTTTGTTTTATCTATTACTATTTAATCAGTTTTTTAACATGAGTTCAAAGCTGTTACTTGCTTGAATAATACAAATGTAAATAAGTGATCTGAACTCTGTTTGAATTAACTTTTTGTTTACCGATTAACTCATAGATAGTCAACATTTCCATAACCGGTGACTCGGTGGCCAAATTCGGCCCTTGACTGCCCTGTGTGTTACCCTTCTGCCTTCTAAAAATATAATTGGAAAAAATTGCTTAATTGGTATAAAAACTTTTTCCGAATAAGAAACTATAAAGTAATACCAAAATTGTAACGTAAAAATTGCTAAAGTGTAAAGTTATTATTTTAAAATATCAAAGGATTTAAAACTTTTGACAATTAAATTTTTTAGAAAAATTTCTTAAACCTACTTTTTTTTAAAAAAAAACTACTTAACTTACTAAAAGTTTCTTATACATTTGTTCTAAACAAATGTAGTTAAAGAACTTTATTCCAAAGCTAAAAATGTCAATATAATTTTAAAGAAAAAATAATTAGTCTAGAGAAAAGTTGAAAACCTGCTATAATATAATTTTAGAAAGACTGAGTGTGCAAAACTCAGTTTTTTAATTTAGAAATATTCCTTTGCATTTTGAAGACATATCAATATTATTCTCATTTCACTTATGAGTTGTTAAGTTATTAAAAATTGAATGCATTTAAGCCCCTTAAAAATCAAAAGGTTTTTTCCTCAATCCCCTCTTCTGAAAAATGTTGTGTACCCCTTCCCGCTGCTGTAAAGTGCAGGTGGCCAAATTCTACTTACAATGATGTTTACTTACAGTAAAATTGTATTTGTTACGAGTATTTTTTATAGAGGTTTTTTTTTAACTTTAGTTTTCCAAAATTACATCTTCAAATTTGCATATTTTTATACAAATGATTTCATTAAAATTTCTCAGAGGGCAATTATAATTAAAGTGAAAATAACTTCAAAAAATATTTTTAATTAAATATAATAAAAAAATTAAAATCAGAATGTTAGGCCCCTCTTTTCTGATTTGAATGATTCCTATTACTGCAGATAACTTGAAAATTTAGTTAAACCTTCTATCAAACACTTCAGATATGCAGGGTATTTTCTTATACCTGGATTATAATTTCAGTAATAATCTAATTTCAACAGATATGAATTAGTAATCTACTTAGTCATTATGGATCCATACAAGGATTAAACAATGTAACAAACTCGTCTTTAAGGAATAATTTTTTTCCATACTTGCCAAGTCTCCTGTTTTTTTTTATAGAAGACTCCTGTTTTCAACGACTATTTCTTTTTTACCCATATATTCTCAAATTTCTCCGTATTTATGGAAGAAATTAAAAATTTTTTTTTATTGTTTACTGGTAAAATATCCGCTAATGGCAAAAATACTTCTTTTATTCCTTAACAGATTGTGCTATTGCCTGTACTGTTTCAATGAGGTGAAACAGGGTCGAATCCCAGCAATGGCTCGTATATCCGAATACTGGGCCGGGATAGCCTGGTCGGTAGGGCGCAGGCCCCATGTTCGTGGGTTCGAACCCCGCCGTCCCTAGACTCCCCGTGTAGTAAAGTGACTGATGGACGTTAAATCTGGCGAGTCGCAAAAGTCCTCCATGTTCCCATAACAAATCAATACCTCTGGAGGTACTGGATTGGAGATCGATCGTTCTCTGATTCAGGTCAAAATTACGATCTGTGGATGAATGAATGGGTCCGCCCTATAAACGGGTGTGACGTATGGTGTGGTCGAATTCTTGGCCATAGATGACGCTTTTGGAAAACAAGAACAATCGCGCGCCTCTGCCTTAACAGGCATACGAGAGAGAGAGATAAATTAATGGTTCCATTTTTGTATTAACTCCTTATTCACGGGGAATTTGTAATCTAAAACATTAGGCCCAATAACTTTTACATTTCGGTACTGTACATGTATAAATACAATATTATTTATACAATGATATAGCATAACCGACGGACAAACGAAGCTATTGTTCAATAACAAATATTTAAAATTGTCGGTTAATCAGTTAAGAACTACTGTTTGTGACTTCGATTAAAGACCTTGGAGATCTCAACGGCCTTATTTTGCGGTGGCTATGGTTCAGAGACGGAGTTTATTCTTTTTCTTGTTTAAGCTTAAACTTTATTTTATAACCGTCGTTGAACAGCCAACCCAATTTTATGGATTTACAACTACTAATGTTCAACTCCGTAGCCTTGTAATTTTTAGCCCGATCCAGGAGACAAGAGAACTCCTGGATCGAGTATGGGGAGAAATTTGCCTTAAGGATGGAGCTACCCTGCATTTGCGTTACACGGAGAGGAAGATCACGAGAACCTCCCACTGTTAGCCAGATGGCAAAGGGACTCTAACCCATGATCCGCCTACTACTGAGGATATTTCACGTCGGCATTGTGGTCGGTGCAAGCC